TTCGACAAAAATTGATTTCCTGGCTTTATTAGGCATCAAAACGCATCAAACCCTAATAGAAATTTGTTTCTAAATGCCTCAGGAATCATACTGCGTCGTCAAAGTGCCGAAATATTCATTTTTTTATTTTCCTTATATGCGTGTTCGGACCCTCACTTTTTAGGATCAGTTTTTTCGGTGATTATTCGTTCGTGGCAAGTCCGATTTAAATTTTTTTTTTCTATGTCCATCTGGATGTACATACGCATGTGCATGCAAAATCTGACGAGAATTGGTTGAGTGGTGCTAAAGAAAAACGCGGCCAAAGAAGTTGCAAAGTCAAGTATAATAGCTTCGCTCGCCTTCGGCTCGCTCGCTCAATGAGTGAGTTAAATGTACTGAAAGATAATTAAAGCTTTTTAATATAGTAATTAGTACTTCGTAAATTATTTTATATGGAAAATTAATGGTCTGTTTAAATCAGTCCTGTTATACCTGTCAAAATCAATAAATAGATTTATGTGGTGCTATTTTTACACCTAACGTCAAAGAGTAATTTGTAATATATAAGTAATTATTTAATTTATTGATCATATTAAAACATATATCATTATATTTTAAATAATTAAAATATAATATTTGAAATTGCATCGCGTTATACATTCAATTTGAAACACGAAGTATTCCAAACATTTTGTTTCAAAAATATTTTTTATATTAATCAACTAACATTATTAATTGTACAATTTTAACAAAATTTTTCGAACAAATATTTACTAAAAGGTGCTAAAATCCTAATAATTGTATTACTTAAAAAAGTGAAAGTTAAAAGTAAAACATTTTGCTACAAGTACTTCAAGGTTATTTACCAAAGCTGAAACAATCTTCAGCAATGTAATTGTGCTCGTACAAATCAAACAAGTGATTCATAGATATCGTGATAATACATTTGGAACATCACCCGTAAGTAACATTAATTAAACATAAAAATGGGTGCAAATAACTGTAAAGGACTTCTCCCGGGAAGTTCTAAGATTACGCCAGGCAAATCGTTGAACGCAGGTGCGAATTACATTTTTTTTTATATTTAAAATCGTATATCTATTATCGTATGTTATCTCGTAATATAAGTGCGTAATAAAAAGTATATGACGACTGCACATCTTATATAAAATATTGAATTAGAAAATAATAAAAGTACTAAAGATTTCTATATAATCTTATTTCTACAGTGTTTAATTGTATTTTTGTATTCAAATATTCATTTGTATATGTAAATGTGTTAGTATTACATTATTACATCAAACTGTATCGATCGATCTTTTTATGACATGATAGGTGTTCCACATATCGATCTTTACGGACTTTAATTGTAGAGAGACGAATCACGTGACATTACAGAAACCTAATTATCTTAATGTTATCGTTACATATTATCTACTAAAATCTGAATATTCATGTATCCAGAAAGAAACAGGAGTAAAATCCATAAGGAAATCTAACTTTCCTTTAGACTTATTCAAAATATCTTTACGCATGTACGTATACGTAACCTTTTAAATCTTTGTACACACAATATGGAAATACCAGCGCGATTATGAAAAAAATCTGATTACACTAACGAATAATTAGCACGATCTCATGATGAATAATTGTAGCAATTAAAAGTATAACAATATGTGTTTGTATTTTGTAAGACAATGTACTCGATACGCGTATAATACAATTACTAATATCCGTTTAAAGATATACGGCGGAGGAATGACAGAGTTAAAATCTGACAAGAAGATTCATATATGCAGTGAGTGCAACAAAACAAAGCAAGAAATTAGAAGAATATATAATAGTTCCGAATGTTGTTGTAGTTGTGAGTTAATAGCTTTTCAATTGCATACAGCAGTGGTCTCATTATCTACAAGATATCTTCATACAATTGTATACATAATTGTGTTTACATATATCAGAGTTGAAGGCATTTGTAGATCTAGTGATAGCAAGACACTTAGAGAATATAACAATGAAGTTGTTTAAATAAAATATCAGGATATAATTTGAACATTTTATATTTGTGCAGGTAAACCACAAAAATATGACTACGTTGAAGGTGTGGTATGTAAAGAAACGGATATCAAAGAAAATGAAATGAAAATATTACCACTTGGAGAAGATGGAGGAAAAGTATTATTAATTAAGCAAAAGGGAGAGCTACATGCTATTGGTACAAAATGTACGCATTATGGAGCTTTACTCCATACAGGAGCTCTAGGAGATGGAAAAGTAAGGTGTCCTTGGCATGGTGCCTGCTTTAATATAAAAACTGGAGATATAGAAGAATATCCAGGATTAGATTCTTTGCCATGTTATCAGGTATTTTAGCCATAAGTTTAATATAAAATGGTACTTGTTATTCCATGCTTATATTTGTTTAATTAAATAGGTAAATGTGGATGACTCAGGCCTTGTACGTGTAAAAGCAAGGCGTAAAGATTTAGAACTCAGTAGGCGGGTAAAAGAGATGTCCAAACAAGATTCGAATAATCAGCAAACTGTTGTAATCGTTGGAGGTGGACCTGCAGGTGTAACTTGTGCTGAAACTTTACGACAAGAAAATTTTACTGGAAATATTATCATGGTTTGTAGGGAAAATGCAGTTCCATATGACAGAGTAAAAGTATCCAAAGCTCTTGACTTTGATGTTGAAAAAGCAGCTTTGAGACCACGGTCATTTTATAATGACCATGACATTCAACTAAAACTGGGTATTGAGGCTACAGGTAAGTACAAATTATTCCTCTTCAATTGAAATAAAGTCTTACCACTTAATTTATTACAGGACTAAACACAGAAGAAAGTACTGTTCAGTTAAGCAATAACGAGAAATTAACATATAATTATTTATTTCTTTGTACTGGATGTAAGCCTAGAATGCCAAATATACCTGGTTCTACATTATCCAACATTAATGTGCTGAGAGATTTCACTGACTCTCAGGCTGTATATTCTAAATTAGCACCCGATAAACATGTTGTAGTACTTGGCTTAGGCTTTATTGGTATGGAAGCTGCTGCATATTGTAACGATAAATGCGCATCTGTTACCGTTGTAGGAAGAGGTAAAATACCTTTTCAGGCAGTTCTTGGAACAGAAATCGGTGCAAGAGTTAAAGAAGAATTTGAAAGGAAAGGTATTATTCAATTTATAAGACCGAGATTGTAGTGAATGGATTAGAAAATAATTCAATATTTTGTCTAAGGTGTGAAGTTTATGTTTGATAACAGCATCGAACGATATATCGCAAAAGAAGACGCGGCAAATACTGTAGGTTCAGTGGTACTTACTGATGGCAGCGTCCTTCCTGCCGATATAGTTATCATTGGAATTGGTTCTACATTTTACACAGATTGGATAAAAGGTTCTTCTATTGAGATGTTAGAAGATGGCACTCTAAGAGTAGATAAGGTATATTGGAGAAATAATTTGAGCGTTTAATTTAGAAAAATAACGATACGTCTAATTTTAGTACTTAAAAACAAACGTGGAAAACGTATATGCTGGCGGTGATATAGCATATGCACCAATATTTGGTTTAGACGATAAGTTTGCAGCAATAGGTCATTTTTCGTTAGCGCAATATCATGGAAAAGTAGCAGCGTTAAATATGTGCAATAAAACTACAGAATTAAATTCCATACCATTTTTCTGGACAAGCCTTTTCGGAAGAAGTTTCAGATACGCGGGTACGTTCTCTCTTTCCTTTACATCGATAATAAAAAAATATATATTCATTATAATTATCATGCATCTAGGATACGGATATCCAGATAAGATCAAAATTTATGGTAATTTGGAGAATTTGGAATTTTTCGCATATTACTTTAAGGATGGTCAGGTAATTGCGATGAGTAGCTCGGGAGCGGATCCCGTCGTAGCAGATTTTGCGAATCTGCTTCATGAAGGGCAATCCTTGACAGAAGCGGAAATTAATAAAAATCCATTTGGTTGGATAAGAAACAAACCAAAAGATTTCCAAACTCGATTTCAAACCAATTCTAACAACTGAATGAAACCAATGATATTGACAACATAATAAGTGGAAACTTGATGCAGAAAAAGTTTATTCCTAACCTATTTTTATTACTTTGATATGACAAAACTTAAGTATACTTATTTTTGGTATTTATATCACATTATATTTTCGTACAACATACTTTACATGTGCAATAAATATAAAGATTTTACTATAACATTAAAACACAGGATAACATAAATGATACTGGCAAATACAATTTCTTACTAATTTTTTTTCGCACTTTGTGAGAGGGAACTTCCAAATACATGTGTTTTGAGAAAAACAAATTACTGCATCTATTTATAACTAAAACCTTAGTCCCAAGCTTCTGTTACTATTAAATGGCTTAATCGATCTTTGATTGTAATCTCTCTGTTGAACTTCATATTCAATTCTTCGCGTTTACTATTCATAAAATTAACATTCTTGTCTTTTTTGAATTCAGTCATGTGACCGTAGGATTGTTCGCTAGTTAGATACGGATGTCTTAATATCAACATATTTTGTTCTTCTCTTTCAAGATCTCTTCTAAACTCTATTAAATCCTTTATTGTCGGTTCTTTAACTTTTCCATATTTCCTGTAACGAACACGACACATATTTTTATATAAATTAACAATCACATTGTTTTTAATTCTAGGAAGCTTTAGTTCGTGTAAATATTAATAAAAATTCTTAAAAACGAAAGTATACAATGAAACATAACCACTAAACGAACAAACCTAACCTAATTGTAACAGAATAAGAAATTTTCGTACGTACCCTCGAAAACGATACGGAATATTGTGAACTTTGTAAAGTAATATATTTGTAATACGCATTTTTATTACAATTCTATTTCGTTTTTCTCATAGGAACACTGAAGTCGATATACAAAGATGTAACGTCTTTCGACCTACGTTTCCAAGATATAAGACAGGATACTGACATCTAGCATCAACCGGAAGTACCTAAATTTATTCATTTTAATTGGTTAAGTATTCTGGCATTATTATATAGAATTTGCATGAATTTATTCGGATCGTATTTATTAAAATCGCTTTAGTTAATTTAATAATCAGTTTAATATTCTTGATAAAACGGACAAAGATTATTGGATAATAACGGTTAAAGATTATTGGAATCTTAACGGGTTAAGGTTGAAAACGTTTATAAACTTCGTACAGTTCAAGCAGGATTTTCTGAGAGATTTTTAATTTAAAGGATCGGGCAAATTCATAAAGCCTTACTTCCATGAAAGAATTGATCTATTTGATAGCATTTCAAATTCAAGACAAAAAGAAAAGGTGATTCTTATAATTAATAACAAACATGTCGTCAACTCACGAAGAAAGTTCATACATTCAACTTTCGCGCTTAAACGCGAGCCTTTCGGTTTTTGCCGCCATTTTTCTTTTGGTCGTCCGTCTCTCCCTCTCCTCTCTCTCTCTCTCTCTCTCCTCCTTCTCTCTCTCTCTCTTATGTCTACGAAACGCCGATAGCCTCTTGTTCGCGCTCTTTTCTTTCAAATAGCCAATCGATAAATAATGAGCTGGTTCGAATTATCGTTCGGTTAAAGCAACGTATAAAAATAATAAAAGGATACAGGTAGATTCACGAAGAGGACAGACAGACAGACAGGTAGACGGACAGACAGACAGGTAGACTGACTGACTAACTGACTGACTGATCGATAGACAGATTGGCAAACAGACAAACAGACAGACAGACAGACAGACAGACAGACAGATAGGCGAGCAGATAAACTACATGGACAAATGGTGGACTACGCTATCCAATAACTGTGGTTTTTCTTTGAATGTCACGATCTACGCGCAATAAAATCTTCTTTCGCTTCCGTTTGCTTTACATATAAATCGAATTTGAAATCCGTTCTGCTCCGACACCCTTGATCGACCCCAACCCCCAAAAAACGCAGTCGCCTCCGCGCATCGACTACCCTTACCCCTAAGTTTTTCTTCACTTCCACTTTTTTTCTTCTTACAAACGGCGATACGTTTATTTTCCTTTTCGTTTAACATTTGAACACTTTTTTTTTTGTTTTCGGGGGGAAGCTGGGTGCCAGACTCGCCATTCTTTCCGCTAAGGATTATCATACAAAATAATTAGAAAAATGTACAAAAATTCATAAAAATAGTAATAGTTACACAGTACAAATTACATCTGGGTAATTAGAGTAGTGTGATCAAGAAACGAGCATGAAAAATTACGGTTTCCTACTAATGTTACATTTTGTTTCTCGTGTGTACGTGTATCTGCGTTTCCCATTATTTTTTTTTTGTGTCGTCACCGTTCCGTAACGTTTTCCTTTTTTTTTTACATTCACTTTTTTTTCTTTTTTTTGTTCTTAATCGCCGTTCCAACGAGATACGTCGTGCTCCTCCTTGGCCGCGGAAAGAACGCCTCGCGGAATAATTTTTAGGCGCGCTAATTATTCGTTACTCTAATGACGTTGTTGCACGCGTACAAAACGCTTGATCCTTGTCCTGTTTCTCCTTCGTTCGATTCCTCCTCGCGCAACATACGTACATATATCAGCGCAAAGCGAGATTTTGCTGCACCCCCATTGTCGTCGTAAACGGAACCAAAGGAAACTTGCAAGCTGTCGAATTCCTGCTACTTTTGATTTTGCCGGACAGGGGTAAAGCTCGGGCACGATGATAATGCGAGTACAGCAGAGCGAACATTTCTTACGTGGCAGCGCACGCGTATCGGTTTCGTTCCCTAAACACGATCTTAATTTTATTAATGCCACGATACTTAACCACCGCACCGCGTTGTTTCCTTTGCGACGCGGACATAGCGTACAGTCCTGATCCTTATAAACTACACGATAAATAACGAGGGTGAACCAGAGGACATCCTCTCTCAGAAAGGCTCGAAGGGAAAAGGAAATGTGAAGGATCGCTTCTGGTTCCCCCGTCCTGCCCTGACGCGCGATTAGATTTTTGCTATTTTTTAAAAAAAGATTCTAAAAACTTGCCCTCTAAGTGGTTGTTAAAAGAACGTTCGTGTAGTCGAGTCGAGGGTAATCGTTCGTGAAACGTAAAAAGCGAACGATAATAAAAGAGATCGCGCGAGACGAATATCAACCAGTGCTAGTTCGCTCGATCGGTTATCGTAATTCGACTAGAAACGATCCAAATAACGATCCTTCGATCGTTGACTAGCAAGAATCGACTAGCACTGGCTTACGCGTTTCTTGGATTTCGACGCGTTCCTCGACGATTCTATGCACGATCACGGGATTCGAACGTATACGCGATACGCGCATCGAGGAGCACTCGCGGCGATTTTCTCACAGCGAATCGAATCGACTCTCGTACGCCTCTTTCCAGTTTCGCACGCGACACGGTTAAATATACCTATAACAGTATTCTGCGACCAAAAAAATAAACTCTATCGTGTACGTACGTTATTGGCTAGTTAAGCTACGTGATCGTCGATCGTTTATACCGATCGAGCGATCGCAAAGATCTCTCTCTCACTCTCTCTTTCGCCCTCACCAATCTCCGTTTGAATATTAACCCGTTCGATGCGTCGCATTTCATCTTTGCTATATTTGGACGAGAGCCGATCGTGCTTAGAAGAATTCGAAAGTAGCGAATCTCGAGAGCGTCGATAATTCGCGATCTAGAGACCGATCTTCTTCGCAGAATTGTCTAATTTGGCTTTCGGAGCCGATCACAGCGTAAAGTAATCGCGACGTTAATCTTTTTCGGGATTTCTTGCCTTCCTGAACACGAGCGTTTCGAGACACGTTTCCGATCGCGCGAACATCGTTCGTCGTTAAAAACGCTCTCTCGCTTCCTTCGATGAATGTCGTCGTTGAAATTCTATTCTCGTAGATTACAATTCCAAAGCTCGTCCGTTTCAATGAAATCGTTTAAAAAATCGCGATTGCCCGGAGAAAATCGAGCAACGTACAAAATAGAAAAATTTGATTGTCCCGGCTTTGAAATTCTATTCTCTCTGCCTTCCTTCGAATCGGTACAAATGTTCAACGACGTTGCTGTCGGTTTTCAGCGAACATGTCTTCCTATTGGAGCGCTATGTTACAGGGTGTCTCACAATTAATGTAAAACGTGATTCTGAACAACTTTTCCCTTTGCAGAAATTCGCTATGAAGCTTCGTTCTTGAGTTATTAAGAAAAAACCAATCGGAGCAGCCACGCATGCGCAGACGCGAGAGCTTCGAACCTAGCGTTGTCTCACAATCAATGCAGAACGTAATTCTGAACAAGAATCCACGAAAGCGTTTTAACTTCCAAAGGAGTCCACTTCATTTTATGATTTCACGCACACTTTTCCCTATACAGGGTGTCTGACTCTCTCGTGTGGTGGGGTTTGACATTCTGAACAACTTTTCCCTTTGCAGAAATTCGCTATGAAGCTTCGTTCTTGAGTTATTAAGAAAAAACCAATAGGAGCAACCACGCATGCGCAGACGCGAGAGCTTGGAACCTAGCGTCCGCGCATGCGTAGTCGCTCCAACTGGTTTTTCTTTAATAACTCAAGAACGAAGCTTCATAGCGAATTTCTGCAAAGGGAAAAGTTGTTCAGAATGTCAAACCCCACCACACGAGAGAGTCAGACACCCTGTATAGGGAAAAGTGTGCGTGAAATCATAAAATGAAGTGGACTCCTTTGGAAGTTAAAACGCTTTCGTGGATTTGAAGTGAAACGCAGTAAAAAATAAGGTTAATATAAAAATAAAATTGCGCTACGTCGTATAAAATGGTACCTTAACTACTCGAATGAAGTCGTTAGTTATGTTAGTACACGAAAGACGATCGCGCGATTTCAACGAACGATTTCCCCAGAACGAAACGGTTTTCAAAGTTTAGTTCGCACTTCGGAACAATCGAACAAAGGGTAATGATGCCAAGTACTTTCGAATTGACCGACGTCCCCCTTAACTTATACGGCACAGCAAAACTAGTACTCGATAAAAGGAAAGTAGGAAAATCGTCGACGTTGCATCGAGTTCTGAACGACCATCTTTGCGTGATTGTTCTTGACTTTCGACGAAACGTAAAATGTTCGACGCGTTCGAATCGAAGCCGGTCGCAAGAAACGCGTAGTATTGCTTTGACGTGCTTAAACGCTAATCTATTCGAAAGAGTCGGTTATTCGTACGCTTCGTATAATTTTAATCGGAGATAAAGAGAAGAAGATTCGTTTAAAAATTCTACGCTATTCGAACGTCTTTCTACGTTTCGGCATAGAAACCGTTGCTTTCGCTCGGCTAACGACCTAGTTGGTTCTGCGCTTTGCATTTTAAAATAATCGTCCGAGGACGATTTAACGATCGTTGAAACTCTGTTCCGAGAATCGTCGTCCGGTCGCTGGATCTCGTGCAAGAAATCGCGAATCGCTGTTCGACGCTTCGAGTTCGCGTTACTTTTGCCGGAGGACGCGTAGCGAACGAACGCGATCGGACTTTGACCAACTGTTTCCAACAACGATCGTCGTTTGTCTTTTTTATTTTTTATTCTCTGAGCACAGAGTATTCCTTAAACCTCTCTAATGTAAACAGGTTATTATTTAGAAAAAAAGAACGATACAAAAGGGACTGGTAAGAGCGAATTGGCTTAGCAACGCGACCAACATGGCCGGCTGCTTCGTCGATCGAGTGCCCTATCGATACTTTGTCGCTATACGCTAGACGCTATTAAGGATATTTAATCGATCGGTTTCATTCGTTCCTCTCTCTCTTTCACACGCACCGGTTCTTCCTGTCTCTCTCTATCGCGCGACTTCGTCGTTAAAAGTTTATCGAAAAAATACGAGCGAGACGCCGTTGTCCATCGATTCGCCGGAATCCGTTTGATCGAAAATGGCGTCAGACAACCACGAATCGATGTCGCCCTCTGAACAATCGTTGATCGGTTTTAAAAAACACTTCGATGGAAAATGATCAGAAAGACGAACGAAATACAAGATTTCGCTGGCTACCGATTTTACGGTAGGTGAAGAAAGACGAATCGCGGCGCAATCGTGAAAATTAGGTGTCGGCTTCGCTTAAGCGTACTTACTTACTTAAAAGTTATGTTAAGCGTAATACGTGCGATATTCTACGTTTCGCCGTTTCCTCTTTGATCACGCCGTTTCCGTCCAGGTCACGATCGGTTTACTTCGACGAATCACGACGGTAAAACGATTACTTTCATCTGAAACGGACGTAAAGGAAAAACAGGAAACCGAGACGAATGGAGTCTGCTCGACTCGATTCGCCAACGTATCGCGTGTCTAAACGGAACTAGCCCCCGAAGAAGCTCTTCGGAGCGTTCTTCGAAGGATAAGGGAAAAGGAAAAAAGAAAACACACGGAGAAACGAAAAAGTCAATGAATATATCTATGCATAATTTGCATTTAACTAGAGTACGAAAAAGAAACTTGTTAACAAAACAGAAGAATACGAAATAAAGGAAACCAAGTCAACGTTGTCTACATCTGAATACAATAATAATGATAATAATAATAATGATAATAATAGTAATAATAGTAATAAAGTACTTAACGTTCTCTCAAATACAAGCGAGCTATAGAGTACTCTTAACATTATCAACGGTAATAAAAATGAATTTAAAAATAAGGATCACGGTACAACGATACTCGTTATTCTCTACGATATAACGCAACGTTAAATTACAGGTGAACCTAGAAATAACGTACAAAAAGGATCCATCGAATCGTGTAAATAGTTTCTAAATCAGTAGGACTTTTAAATCGTGTTAATACCTATTGGGTTCTTATCAAAATTCAAGGATCGAGATATAAACCAAGTCTTTTATGAATCGAAAGTAAAAACGTTCTCTCTCGTTCGTTTCGTAACTTCCGTGCAACTTTCGTGAATCGAGGATTGACTAGTAATGTACTTGCTTTACGCGCTTTCTTCCCTTTTCTTCCTTCGCTTCTTTCTATTTTTTTCACTTACGTATTACGGTTTTTTTGTTTCGGTTATTTTTTTTTGCTAAGAAAGCTTCCGTCGATATTCAAGACGCGATTTCAGACGGATTTATTTACAAAACGGGACAAAGATTTATTGCGATGCTCGTGCCGTATTCCATTCGCGACGAAATATGAAAGAGCACACGTTATTAAAAATAGAAATGCAATATAAAAAAGGGGTAAAATCGTGTCTTGCATCGCGACGGTGTCTCCGTTCGTTTTCATTATTTTTTTTTTCTTCGTTACCCAGAGGTGGGCAGGATACTACCACTGGTATAAAAAAATAAGGATGATCGTTAAACGAGCTCCGCAAAAAGTTGCTTTAATAAAAAATTATATCCTTCGAGTACGAAACCTCGCGCGTGGTTTGGTAACTTTGAGTTAAGACTTAAGTTGCACTTGTAAGATTTTCTCTAATTTTATCGTCGTTACCGTCCATACGTCGTCCCGTTCGTCGTCGTCCGCGTCCGCCTGGTCCTCGTCGATTATATTACAAACTCATAGAAATTTGCCTTCGCAATTACACGCTAGGACAAAAAGTGGCTATCTTAAGTAAATAGTATTAGTAACAACAGACTTCTACGATAACTTACGAATACAGACGGCGAAATTTTTACAATAAAAACAAACGTTCACGTATAAATGTACATAAAAAGATACGTAGAAACCCGAAACGACATTTTTAAAAAAGTTCACTTTCATCTCTCGCTTCGTTCTTCCCTCTTTTCCTTTCCTTTTTTTTGCATTTTTTTTCTTTCTATACATCTAAAAAGGACTTTTACTATTCTCCATAAAAACTTCCACAAAACAAAAGCAGTCAGACTTTCTATTACTACGTAAAAAACGCATGCACTGTGCCCGCCTCTGGGATGCACTTAGCTTCGTATATTACTATTCTCCGCGCTTCGTTTTATTATTTGTTCATTCATGCGCAAACACACACGACACACGCACTCTTTCTCCCCTAGCCCTCGTTCCCCTCCCCCTCGATTTCTGCGTAAAGTATTTTGTTAATTTTTTTCAGGGTCTTGTTAAAAAAATAAAAAAATATCTTCTTCCCTCGGTTCGTCATTCAGAAATTCCCAACTTGGCCATCCCCTTTCTTCCGCTCTCAGCCCTTCCACTCGCACCCTTTCGCTCGTCGCTATTACGCTTCCTTTCGCCCGGTAAGAACATTGCACGGCTCCCAGCTCCAGTTTTATACTGTCTTATAGCCTTATCACGGTTTACGCTCTAAGTGTCTCGGTAAAACATATACGCGAACATACGTTAAGTTTACGGCTGTATCCCACATTTACATTTAAACGTATCTAAAGCGTTAGCATAGTCGCGCGACCAGTACCGCGGGCGCAGTGGATTCACCTCGCTCGATCCACCAATTACGACCGATCGATTCGAAAGGTGCCTACCCCGTAGACGTCTCGATCGGCGTTCTACCGATTCCCGAAACTCCTTCGTCGCCGTGAAATTTCCGATGCTCTTCGATTCTCGGCTTTCTCAGTTTCGCTTCGAAAATTCGTGCTTCAACGAACGAGAACACGAAAATTTCAGCAAAAGCGTAAAAAAAATGACGAACGTGCAAGTTAATCGTTAACTATACCGCGTCCAAATGAACTTTATACGCATATATATTTTCTAGCAGTGCCTAACTTGCACGTGCCCATGTATACATCAAATGTACAAGTACGTTTGACTGTTTCTTTGGTACATGGAGATACATGTGTACATGTATAATAGTAGACTATAATAGTAGTAACCGTAACTGCGTGAGTTTCAGTAACTATAGCAAAATAATAATAGTAATAATGCTAATAATAATAGTAATTAATAATAATAATAATTGAATAGCATATTGATAATCGTAACAGTGTTAATCGCGTTAAAGCACTATGAACTAATAGTAATCGTCATAGCGAAAATATAAAAATTTGTAGAAAGAAAAACAGAAAGGTATTACAAAAATAGGAAAACGTTCCACGCGATAGAAAAGCCTGTACAACGGTGTATCGGAAAACCGTGCGTGCCTACGAAATCGGTACAAAAGTTGTAAAAATCGACTCTGCTTACGAGGTAAACGAGAAGCAAGAATGACAAAGATAAAAGACGGATACAGAAAACAAAACGGGGAGAATCTTAACGAAACTTATGTCGTCTAGAATAATACGTATCCGACAATAAAAAAAAAAAACAAGGAAAAATGTCGGTGGATGAGCAACCATAATTACGATCGGAGAGCTACGTAGGTAGGCGTCGCTGCGAAAATGGCGCTCTTGATCGACCGCGATCTCAACCTCGAGTTCCTGAACAAGTTACACGGGGCAACAACAAAAATACTCTATATTCTAGTCTGGTAAATGAGGATCAGCGTCGAAGTCGAATCGTGTTCGTCTCACGAACGGCCGAATCGATCGGATCGCAACGACGAGCAACGCGCGTTCGAGACTTATCCGGCGTGTAAACGAAAGGAAATTCGGTGAAAAGTATCGTATTTCGATTCGTTCGTTCGCGACGCGTTCTCTCAAACTTACTCTCATTCTCTCGTCCATTCTCGCGTACGCGGTCACGCGCTACAACGTTATCAAATGCACTTAATCGCATGGGCCTCGTCTCACACATTTTCTCCGAACTAAGATATTTAGATAAGAATATAACAGCAGTATAAAAAACTTTTCAACACTGAAAAATACAAATCTATCGTAAATGACTACCATTGTTACTCGTTCCCTCCGATCATTTCGTTTACCTTTCGAACGACGGCAATTTTGCCACTTCGTGTCGCGCTTTCCAATTATACTCTTTTCGAATCCGTCATAATATATTAGATATTTCGATCGTTATTATCAATTATATATTAGTATCTCGTATATAAATATAAATATATAAATACACGTATATATTTATATTTATATTTATCGTTATATTATATATTATGCTTTATCACACATATTACAAAGGAGGTGAAGAATCATACCTAATATATTATTTATTATTTCTCTTACGAGTCATCGTTAATTATCGTCGTTTCAGCTGAAATCGCGACGTTGATAAACGCGTTTATATCGTCTCGCGGCCTTCTCCGCGTGCTCTTTCCCTCGCGCGTTTCCTCTTTCCGGATTTCGGGCGTCATTCGAAATTACGAGTGATATGTCCGCGTCGAGCGATCAAGGAGCGCCAACGCGAAATAAATCCAGCGTCGGAATCGCGATCAAATTTCCTAATTTTCTTTGCCTAAATCCCCCGGAAACCGAGTCTCCGATCGATTCGCTCGCCGCGACGCGCGTTTCGAAAGCGACGAAACTCCTACGTATGCGCACGCGGCCTCTCGAACGATTCCACAAATCATTCGCGTACGTTCTAAAACACGCGGTCCAATGCGAGAAAGAGAATTATTCTAACGCGTCTACCGACAGAAAAGAGCAATCTTCGAACGTGCGTACCAAGATTCCGGCAGAACTCTGCGCTCTTTAATATATTAGAAAAATTTGTCTAGAAAAATCTCGATTCCCGTCCAAATACCTGATGCTCTCAAGTATTGGCATTATGCTACCCTTTCTCTCTCTCTCTTTCTCCCTTTCGTTCTCGAAATACATATCTATGTTTTTTTATATATTTATATATATATATATATACTTTTTTTTAAATTATCAATTGATTTAGGTGAATTGGTACCTAGTTCAGTTTTACTAGAATCATATCGAATGGGGAGAGCTCCATCTCCGTGCACGAACGAGATCGCGCGAGTACGTATCGGTTTCGTACGAGTGCGTGACCACGCGCGAAAGCGTTTCGGACATCGTCAATTTTCGCCTAGTGTACGAATCGCGAGACGGCCTCCTGCTGACTCGATGGAATTACGGTTAGAATTTTGTATCACCGATTTCTCGAGGCGTGTGCATCGCGAGACGTATTATAACTTAGTTTCGCTTTCCTCGTTCACAATATCGACCGTCGAAAAATTACGCTAACTAACGCTCTTCTTTCGTTCTCTCGATTCTCATTCTCGCTCGCAGACCTCGCCCTTACGTTCATAAATTCGCTAACCGATAAAACATTAATAGAGAATTAAACTAGCTCTCAAAGAGAACCGAACGAACGAAAGAATCGCTCCGAAACGTTGACATCGATACGAATTCGTACGAACGAAGGGACGGAGGATCGTCGTTAACCAATCTCTCCCGAGTGCTTCCGATCCGCTTCTTTCTCACTCATTCGCTCGCTTTCTCCCCCGCGTGCATCCTTCTCTCTCTCTTGCGTACATCCGTACCCCGTGCGGTGCCTAGATGTCACCTTACCTACGGTGACGAGTATATACAAAAAGAGTACCAAAAAAATAAATATATATATGTATATATATGTGTGTGTATATATATGTGTCTATACGTATATAATTGTGTACAAACGCGTAATACATACATAATTATATACGTACATTCGTGTGTATTCAACGTTCTTCGTTACAAGATGTACGCAACGTATCGATTCGTTATCACCTTCTACCGATTTCGTTATCGAACGACTAAAAGATTGCGGTACGATAGATGCGTGTGTACGAGTGTATGTATGTTGTACGTGGTACGTGATACGCGCACGTCACGCGTACACGCGAGAGCGCGTCGTCAAAGAGACTCGTGGTGCGAGGTTAATCTACGAGCTTACGGTTTTCGAATGACGATGAGATGCTGCTACGAATAGAACGATCATCTAGTAAGCGGAACACGCAACGTTACGTACGAGTGGCTCTTCGCGTCGTCTTCGAAATATCGACTCGTCGAAAAGGACGCTTGAATCGCCACCGAGAACACCCTTCGTTGCTCTCTCGAAGAATAGAATCCGCGATAACGCGCCTCTTTCGAGACGAGATTTCATTTGAACTACGTCGATTGCATCGCTGCACTTGATTATATACATCGAGCGAAGAAATTCGTTAGGATTAAGAAAACGCGCACCGCCGTTTAACGCGGCCCGTTATCGAGAGGAAACGATATATACAAGAAGAGGGATCCGCGCGATTTACTATACCGATCTAGTTTCGCGCGAAACCGCGCGCGTTTTATTCGTGATTCTTCTACCGGACGTATAAAGAGTAATTATCCTACGATCTCGACTGCGGTTTCTTCCGGGACGATCTCCTCGTCGCGGAAGAGCGTCGAGTACACTTGCGCGAGGGAACGCGGAGGTTCAGGTTCCAATCGTTCTCCGATATCGCGGGAAAAAATTTTGCGATCCGTTCTTCTTCCGAGGAAAACGAATTATTCGGCCTGAAAAGGACCGCGTTCCGACTAACTTTTTTCTCTAAACCTCCTCTATTCCTTCGCCCTACTTTCTTGCGCACCTTCCCTCTTCTCTTTCTCTCGCGCGCATTCTCACTATTACGTACGCTCTCTTTCTTTCTCGTTTTCACTCTCCCCCCGTCCCCTAAATTTTTGCTACGTTTTGCACTCGAATAAGTTAATTAGTAAAAAATCGTTTGCATCATCCAAACATTCTTTCTAAGAGCGTGATCGCGCTGTTTACGCGAAAAACGCACGACTATAATATAATATAATATATATATATATATATATAAATGTATGTATGTATGTATGTATATATAACGCACCTATGTAACATATTCAATAAGTTCTTAATAGCTAAAGACCGTGATACAGAGAATTATCTAATACACAGCGATTCGAAGCGTGGATGTTTTTCATTATCTATTCAACGTTCGATACGAATGGTACGCCTCCCAGTTTCGCGTCTCTATTTATTTTTTTCTATCACTCTCGGCCGCGTTTCTACCAGCGTTTGCCTCGACGATTCTTCCTCTTCCCACCCTCTCTTCGCGCTCGTTTCCCCGTCCGTCGCCCCATCACTCGTATTTTCGTCCATTCGTTCGACCTTTCGTCGTACTTTCGCGCCCTGTCAGGTACTCGGTATATATTTTTCTTACCGTTTCTATTCGCGTTCGCGCTCGCCTCTTTCGCCCGCCGAAGCCAACGTCCATCGACGAAGAGCCGACCGTAGCTTCGAGGCGCGACGAATCGGGGTTTCGATTCTCTCTCGATCTTTGCCTTCGAGCGGACAAGAGGATCACAGGAAAGGAATCTGCCTCGGATACGGTGTCCCTCTCGTTCTTCGATTTCCCTTCTTCTTACCCCTAGCCCGTTCGAACAGAAGACAAACGATCAGGAGGAAGAAGAACACGAGTCCGTTCTCCGTCGACGAGTAAGTCGTCTTTTGATAGATTCGCTCCAACGAAACGAAGACACGAAGAGACCAGAAGAAGTGAAGAAAAAGGGTAGAGAGAGAGAGAGAAAGAGAGAGAGAGGAAGAGTCGGAGAGAAAACGAAGAACGATCTCCCGCGACGAAAGCACGTTCTTCGATCGACGCGAGAAGCTCTGCCACCCCGGAGCGCCGAGAGAAAAGAAACGAGCGTCCCGGGAAGAGCGACTCGCGCTTCGTCGGATTCGAAAGAGGCGACCGCGGGCGAGTCTCGATTTGAAACTCTCCACTGAAATTCGTAATATTCGGTAACTAACGCGTGTTCGATATCGGTAAGAGACACGATACGTTGACGAACGATGGTTCGACGACAACGCGAGTTCCTCTTCTCGACGAGAGTCTCGGTGATTTCTTCTCGTCGATTCCTCGGTTTCTTCCATCGTTCGGCGAGCTGCTGGCAGAAAACGACGACTGGTTCGTTCGCCGAGTATCCGGTAAACGCGTCCAAGTAGCAGTGGATAGCGGAGTAGAGAAGTAGCTCGTAGTAGAATAGTAATGGCGTGGTAGTAGCGATAGAACGGTAATAGTAGAGTAGCGATAATAACGATGGTGGTGGCGGTAATAGAATAGCGGTGGTAGGAAGGGTCGAATAGGTAGCGAGTAACGGCGGTGGTTTTCGGGATTGCACGTATCGGTAGTAGGTAAGCAAGCGACAAGGGCGGGAGGCGCGGACTGTCGGACGGGTCGAAGAGAGCGGATGAATGGATGGATGGGGCGAGTGGGTGGTCGGGTGACGAGCGGCGGGCGGTCGTTGGAGGGTCTCGTGGATAAAGGGGAGGTGGTTCGTAGAAGTGGTAGTTAATTAGCTAGGGTTGCGCGATAATTAAGGACAACGCGGCTGGGGTTAACACCAGCGGTAGCACGGCTCGAGGTCGATCCGCGCCCTCCTTCACCAACGGCTTGTGGAACTCCCGACCTGGCCGCGAGTGAATCGTCGCCCAACAGTGCTCGCAATAGTACTGCAAAAACAGCCCCAAATTAGTCTGTATTCATTCAAAGTATGGATCACTTGTACTGCGAATAATTTACCTGTAAGCAGGTAACGTTCGCGCAAAAGAACGGCGCGAATTTGCCTCCGCAACGTTGTCCCTGACACTCGTCGCACATCTGATCGTCCAGAACGTACGGCTTGACTTCGACCTGAGCAACGAATAAATTATGAGATCGTGCTAAGAAGGTAGTCGTGCTAATACAGGAATAAGAAAGTACTCACCCTCTTGTCTATGTCGCCGTGTTGTAACTGAACGAATCTAGCCGATATGGCAGCTATGTAGCTTTGCTGATTGCTGAAAGCGACCCTGCCGGCTCCTTTCGGATACTTCAGCTCTGGATCGGTATCAATGCCCGCGTAACACACGCCTCCGTAAAGCCGATCCATGATCATCGCCAACTCGACGGCTTTCAACGGCCGAGGCACACCGCCGACGAACACCGTTTTCCGCGGATCTAACGGCATCGACGCATCCAGAACAAAGTCCGCGTCGCTCAACCGCCACGGTCGAATCTGCACCGGCTTGTCCTTGGTCGTCGGCGAGCTCACGCACAGATACAGTTTCTCCTCGTCCTGAATGCACGCGTCGATCAACTGTTGCACCGAAGCTTCGTCCTGCGAACAGATAGCTCGATAAAGTTCTGCCGATCACGGGATCGTAGACACGCGATCGTTCGAATTTACCTGGAAAAGCAGGAAAGCGTAGCCCTTCGGTGGAAAGTAGGATTTACTCTCCGCTTTGTGTGGCCAATCGACGACCAGCGATCCAAAACGACGGAAACTGGCTTTGATTTCCTCTGTAAAATTGGGAAGATTTTTTAACTGAAGAGAAAAAGAGTGAAGAAAAGAAAATGTGAAGAAAGAAAGGGGTACCTTCGTCGATGTCCGGCGGTAGTCCACCGACGAACACTTTCCTCGAGAAACGTTCTCCGTTTTCGCTGCCCTGACTGTGAGGACTGCTCCGACTCGGCGAGGAGAGCGGCGCCGCTTGAGATCCTGTTATTCCGCTGCCGACTCCGACCCCGACACCGACGCCGACACCGACTCCGACGCCAACTCCGACGCCGACGCCGACACCGACGCTCACGCCGACACCGACGCCGTCCAACTGGCTCGGCGCGTTCGGG